TGCTTGTTTGTTTGTTTTTACCGGGATTGAACCCACGTCCTTGTGCTTGAGAGGCAGGCGGCAGAACCACTGAGCTAAATCCCCAGCCCTATTCTATTTATATTAAGAACACCAACAAAGAAGATAAACCTGACTGTACCACAGGGGTAACATTGTAAGTATTTGTAGGAAGAAGTATGCTATTTACCATACCTTGCATAGCAGCACTATCATGGGGAGTCACATTGTTTTCTATTTCAATATCTGGAATTCCAGTATCTGAAAGAATTGACATTTAAGATTAAGATCTCTAACTTTATTTAAAAGGAAAACTTCAGTAGTCAAAACATTGATCCTTCAATAATGCCTGACCTTTGGTATCATTTGTTTTACTTTTGTGTATGCCTGTTTGTTTTTAATGGTACTGGGTAAGATTATAAACTATAGCTAAATTCTAAAGTTAATTTTATATTTGCAGGTATATAGTAAATACTTCTTTATTGTTTCATTTCCTAATGTTTAGTTTTAGGAAATTAATCTAAAATTATCAGGTTAACATGCCCTGACTGTAGAACAAGAAAAAGAAAATAGGACACACATATGTAAATACTGAATGGTTTCTCTAGTGTGAGAAACTGAAAGTGTAAATAAGGATTAAAATGATTAAAACAAATAATTGATAATTTGAAATAGGAAGAAAAGGTCCAAAGAGGTAGGGGTGGTGAGAGAGAAAGGGGAAAGGTAAGAAGGGAAAGGAAAAATTATTGGAAAAGAAAAAAAAATGGAAACGAAGTCTATGTAAATAGAGAAGTGTGGAGGGGGTGAGAGCACACAGGTAATGGGGAAAAAATAAGAACCAAGATACATTATGTACAGGTACAAGCACCCAATGATAAATGTAAATGTATTGTATACCTAAAATGTACCAAACAAAGAATTTAAGAAAAAAAGAAAGAATTCAATTGATTAAATAGAAGTGTCCCACCCTTATGGTATATTTTCTATTTGTAAGATGTGATAGATGGTGATATATTTATGGTGAGCTCAACTTAAGACCAAAATGCATGGTCATATTTGTGATTTTTATGCAATAGTGACTCTAGTAGCAAATGTTTTACTATTTTGCTCTTCAAATAAATGACAAAACTTAGAAATTATGACATAAAACATTTCTGTGAAATCAGTATGAAGATTTCTTAAAGAATTAAAATTAAAATTTCCATTTGACTTTGCTATTCCTCTTGTGAATATCATCCTAAAACAGCCAAAGACATTATATTACCTTGATTCATATATACCAATGTTTATAGTGACAAAATTCATAATAGCCAAATCCTAGAGGTAGCCTGTATGTCCATCAACAGATGAATGGATAAAAAAAAATGTGGTATCTATACACAATGAAATACTACTAGGGTAAAAAGGACAAATTTGAGACATTTGTAGAAAAATGGACATATTTGGAAATATAATGCTATGTGAAATAAATCAGACACACAAGCTTAAATACCATATGGTATCTCTCATTTGGGTAAGTAAGGCAAAGTCTAAATGAAGAGCAAAATATAGAAAAAGAGACCTGCAAGTGAGAAAGGGTCTAAGACACCGAGGGCAGGGGTGAGAAGAAGGAGAAGTAAAAAGATTTGAGATGTGTCATGTACAGCAAATCCCCATAATTGAATGTAAACATCATATGTCATAAACTGAACTAAAATAACAATAATAATGAAAATGGGGAAAGGGGAATCTAGAGATGGAGAAATAGAGATGAGTGGGGATGGGAAAGAGTACAAAAAAGAATCAGATATGTTATGTACATGTACCTACTCCCTAAGATGAATGTAAAATTCATGTATTGCAAACATGTACTAAAAAAATAAAAATTTTTAAAAGATTCTGTATGTTTGTACAGATGTGTGTACTTACTTGAACATTTACGTCATATTGTGTTTGAATGAGATGAAACACAATTATTAGGTGGTTTCAGAATTTAAAATGAAACAAAAATATTTAGATTTAAGAGATTTCATTATTTAAGCATCTTTTCTCACAGAATTTTCAGAGATTTTCTTAAAACACTCTTTTTAAACCAGATGTTCCTTAAAGACCTCAACATTGATGCAGCGTGTATTAAAGGAACCAGCATCCTATAGCTAATCAAAATTGAACTCGCTAAACATCATCTCATCTAACATGAATGGACCTAAAGGGCTTACATTTCAGTTGAAGGGAAGAAATCAGTGCTATTGCTTTTATTGTAAAAGTCAGCAGGATTTCTGGTTATTCCTACACCTTTTTTATCTCCCAGAATAGAGACTGTTTTGACCCATTTAATTCATGATTTAAAGCACTTGGACACAAATGGATTTTTTAATTATTCCCAAGCAAACTCTTTTTCCTTCCATCTTCTTCCTTGTCTTCCTCCCTTCCTTCTTCCCTCCCTTCCTCTCTCCCTCCCTATCTTCCTTCCTTCCTTCTTCCTCCTGCCCTTCTTCCTTGTCTTTCTCTTTTTCTTTTTCTCTGTTTCTCTCTCTTTCTCTCTCTTCCTACTTTGATTGAAGTTTTGTTTTTTTTACCTTGACTGTGAAAGTCCATAACACATATTACCTTTCAACATCCTCAGGCCACTATCACTAGTAGTAGTTTGCTTAAGTGCCTGCTCCACTTGCTCCCGGCGCTTTGATTCAAATTCTAAGGCTTCCTGAAGTTTTCTCTTGGCTTTCTTCTCCTTCTTCAGGCGCTTTTGCATGGTAGCTGAAATGTGGAAAGGTAGTTTGCAAAGTCTTAGTCAGTATAATAGATTTTCCATTTTTGATGGATTATAAACCATAGAAAAGGTATAAAGAACAGAGAGAGAGATATAAACATGCCAGTTGACATACGATTAACCTCTTATTGTTCTAACTCTTATTTGGCTCATGCAAATAAATGTAATGTTTACTCTAGATCAATCAAACAACAAACTGTTATATTTTTACAGCTACAGTATACATGATTTGAAATCCACATACATTGGTATAGCAGTAACATTTCATTCAGAGAATTGTTTTCTATTTTGACTCACATGTACTTAATGATAGTATTAAATATTTTATAATTATTTTAAGAAAGTTATTCATATTATTGATTGGGTTATTGCTATTCATATTTCAAAATACAAAAATGTATCCTGACAATGTCAGTAGGGTTACATAATATGGTCTTTAAAACTGAAAGTGATAAGTGTTTATTTCATAGAAATGTAAACAGTTTCAAAGACAAATATCTACTTTTAAAAATATGCCCTCTCTCTCTCCATACACACAATATATATACACTTGAAAGAGAAGAATTTTTAAAAATTATTATATAATCAAGTCATAAATGTGCAACCACAATTGTGTTTCTTTGATAAAGGAAAAGGGAATGGGCTAAAGAACAAGTGTACCTCAATTTTCAAGATTTTATGCCACAACAAGAAACTTTAACTGGCTCAGTGCATGATAATTTCAAAACTCTGAAATCTTAAATTTATGATAGATTTTCAGTAGGATCGTTGAGTTTCAGCAATATATTGGTTCCTAGCAAAGTTCTAAGAAGATGGATGTTTTTCTTCAGTCAGATTTTTAAAAGTTCAGATATTGATATTATGGCAACAGAAAAACACTTAAAGAATATTAACCAAAATAATTATGTGATATTTAAAAATGCTAAATTCATTAATACATAATTTAAATAATTTAAATGAGCTATGTTGCTATTTTGAATCTCAGTTATATTTGTTTCATAATTCAATATCTTTTCTTACGTTACCTACAGCAGCTTGAGGAGAATCACTCAAGTAAATTGCTGTGGAATTGGAATAAAAATTCAGAAGCGTAAGGTAATAACACACTTCTGGAGACAAAGACAATGAAAAAATATAGTTTCTATTATTTTTGATGAATGATTGCTAAATAAGATAGATGAAATTATTTTAACATTGTAATTGTATTCATACCATTATTCAAATGCATCATAAACAAATTATTTAAATCAAAATTCTATATGAATTGAAATTATTGACAGCAGTGTTTTTGATAAGAAAAGTAATTTACTTTCAGTAAGATTGAGTTCAAAAATATTCTATATGTTGAATCAGTTCAAATTTATTATTTCATACATTTTAAACAAAGATACAACATACTACTTTTAAAACTATTATCTAAAAATAATAATAATTAGTTTCTTCAGAACCTACTATATAGTGAACATTTTGCTGAGAGTATAACACATTTAAGTCTTACAACCCTGAAAATAAAGCACTATCATCTCCATTTTAAAGAAGAAACTGTGTTCTTGAGAGGTCAAGAAATATACCCAAGGTCACATAACTACATAAGTAGTTATTGCAAAGCTTAGGGACAGAATTTGTTTGAGGACCAGAAGAGGCAATCCCTAGTGTTTGCTGTAGCTCTATCATTATTTTATAATTTTAAATGTTTAATATGTGAAGAATGTTACTATATATCATTGTGCATATATATGTGAGATTAATTCAAGAAACATTCTTGCCATCAACAAAAAAGGAACTAGGTAGGATTATTATTATTATTATTATTATTATTATTATTATTATTATTTAGTGTGGAACATTTATTTTCTTCCTTCCTTCATTCCTTTTCTCTATTTTTCTTTCTTTTCTTTTTTCGGTACTGGGGAGTGAACTTAGGGCCTTCATAATGAGTTATATTCCCAATTCTTTAATTTTCCCTTGTATTTTAAATTTTGAGACAAGGTCTCATTATGTCACAAACTTGATAGGCTGGGCTGGAATTCACACTCTTCCTACTTCGGTCTCACAGAATTCCTGGATTACAGATGTGCACAACCATGCCCAGACAGCATTATTTTATTTGACTGAAACAAAAAAAAGCAATAGGGATTCTTTTATATATAACTTTATATATAGTGATTCTACTTTTATATTTTATTAATAGTATTGATGATAATTTTAGTTATAATAATGACTATTAATAATAATGGTAATAAGAATGATAATGGTAGTAGTGATGTCACCTCTTTATTGTAACAAATGTTAAATTTATGAAATCCAAATGACATTTCCATATAGATGAAAACAGATACAATATTATATCTATTATATTTAGGAATTTTTTTTCCAGTACCGGGAATTGAACTCAGGACCTTGTGCTTGCCAGGAAGGCACAGCACCACTGAGCTAAGTCCCCAGCCCTTATCTTTTAAAGACTTTTTAATGACTTTTTAAAGGTCATTACATATGATAATTTTAAATGTGGACAAAAAGGACATATAAAATGTTACTAAACGGAAATCTGGATGAATACAATCCTAAAAATGTGAAACTGACTGTACTATATGTAGTAAACCTTTATAAGTCAATTTAAAGATCTTATTATAATATGATTTGAGTTTTTTCAGAATAAAAATACCCCATATAAGAAATATTATTTATGACTTTAATTATATTATATTTTACAAACTGAATATCAAAAATATACTAATTTTTTCAAACTTCAAAAAGACAATTTAGCCTTTGCTTTTCAGTATTTAAGAAATCTGAGTCGCGTGAAAGACCCCGAATCACCTCGCTGCAGACAAGCAGGTATGCCCACACCCTACCAAGGTCCCCAGTTGCCGGAACACACGCTGAATCAGCTTGCTGCAGACAGGCAGGTCTGTGCACACCCTACCGAGGTCCTGAGTCACTTGGAAGACGCCGAATCACCCCGCTGCAGACAGGCAGCCACCCGATTCCACACTACAAAGATGCAGAGGACACCAGACCACCAGAGCAAGGTACTGAGTTCTACTGTCCCCGGCCCAGAGGTAGGGGCTTCTGAGCCATCGTCCCACTGCTCCTGGTCCAGAGGAAGGGCCTTCGTGGTCACCATCCCTCCCACTGCTCCCAGCCCAGAGGAAAGGGCTTTTGGGCCACCTTCTGTCCAGCTGCTCCTGGCCCAGAGGAAGGGGCTTCTGAGCCACCATCCCACTGCTCCTGGTCCAGAGGAAGGGGTTTCTGAGTCACCATCTCTCCAGCTGCTCCCAGCCCACAGCAAAGGGTTTTTGGGTCACCATCCCTACCACTGCTCGTGGACCCTGTCCCACCTCACCCAGCTCAGAGGAGGTAATCCATGCAGGCACTAACAGCCCCCTGGCAAAGTCGAAATGATAAAACATGTAAATAAGTCTCAAAACCATACTTCCAGATCACCTACAGCAACACCAAAGGGAAATGAGATGGAACACTCTGATACTCAACCACCTGGACCCTCTGAACTGGCAACAAAAGGGGATCTGGAAAAAAATGAAATCAGAAATAATTTCTCAGATAATAGGAGAAATTGTGCCCCTAGTGCAAGACATGATTGATAAATCTAGAGAGGAGCTCAGGAACATGATGGAATCCCAACATAAGAAAC